GGTGGTCTACTACAGGTGGTCTACATGTGGTTATTGACTGTGTTGCATGTGAGTTACAGTAGCTCGCCCTCAGTTTTAATCTCTCACAATGCTGGTTGTGTTGTTGCCCATTAGGAGAATCTGCATTGTCCTGTCGTTAGTAATGGGAGACGAGCAGTGAGCCTGCTGATGACCTTCAGCTAAAGGTCACAGCTGTTTAATGCCAGTACGCTGCCGAATGCTCAATGGGCCGAAATAAGCCAGTTGGGTGGTAATTTATTGGCTGAACTACAAACACATACAAAGCGTTTTTATTAGGATGATTTGAGGTTTGCAGATATTATAATGTCATTGTTTTATAAGCTGTCTGTCAGTGAATTATATATATATTGGGTTTAAATAGTTTTACTCAGGAAAACACACCCAATACTGGATTCTAGGCTTCTTTAAATGCTGATCAAGTTTTTGAAATGTCGACAACGTGTATTTTTACATGTGTCAGTGGATATTTAAAAAATGAAGACAGTACTTTGGTGTTTTCCAAAGTTTACTGTCTATGCTTCCCTGTGCGCACGTGTAGTTTGTTTTACATACACCGTTTGGAAGTTTTTACATTTGAATATTTCCCTCAGTCCTTCCTGCTAACCCTCCTCTCTTTCCTGCTTCCTCCCTGCAGGTCTGATGCTCGGCCGCAGCTGCCTCAGCCGCCATCATGTTCACCAAAAAGAAGAAGTCTCGTATCCAGATCTCCGCTCCGTCTAACTTTGAGCATCGTGTACATACAGACTTTGACGAGCAGGAGCAGAAGTTTGTCGGGTTGCCGCGGCAATGGCAGTCGCTCATCGAAGACACCGCCAAAAGGCCCAAACCCTTCATCGATGTGACTGTCATCACTACTGTAGAGCCACGCAAGGTAGGATGAACATAATTCATACAGTATAAAGAACACCATCATCTGCATAAAATCCAACTTTTCCCTCATCCTGTCGTCCACTATTTTTTATTTTATTTCTCAAAATCTCCAGACTATTGTGCGTGGCAGCAAGCTCGGAGTGGACGGCTCTCTGACGTGGCTGCTGGATGAGTTTGACACCATGTCTGTGACTCGCTCCAACTCCCTGCGACGAGGCAGCCCTCCCCCCCAGCCCCGCAAGGACTCTACGTCTTCAGGAGGAGGAGGGCAGGAGAATGGAGATCCTCACCACAGACACTACTCTCACCCAGACAGACAAGACCGGTAAGGAGTTGAACTGCACCTCCAGGGGGATTAAAAGCACAGGTTCTTAATTAAAATAAGATTTGAAGCGCTTGATGATTCTGTATTTGCTGTCTGCTTGTTTCTTCAGCAGCAGCATGTTGCGCAGATCTTGTGGCATCATAATTTTACCCACAAGAACAGGAATTTTGTCAATACTATAAGCCAATGAGCTGCTGTACTGATCTTTGGATTGCTCTGCTTCTCAGAGACAGACCCAGACCAGACCACCACAGTGAAGGAGATCCCCGCCAGGGTCAGCGTGCGGTCCGTCCTCCTCAGTCAGATGACGGAGTCCAGGGTCGGCCCCAGCAGCAGCCCCGGGGCCAAGAGCCAAGTCGGGCCCACAAGGACAGGCCAGGCTCCGGCCCTCCTCCTCCTCCCCCTCACAGAGACAGAGCGCATCGGGACCGGGGCCGGGACCGGGACCAGGTAGGGACTGAAGTTGAACCCTAGACCCAGCCCCTCATCTTCATACTTACTCATAGTAAAGTCATAGGACTCACAGGGCTCTTTCCTGCAGTCTTATCCTTGTGTGTATTTACCTCTTCACTTATTAGTGATTAAGTTAGTTGGTTTAACGTTTTGTGTACATCAGCCTTTGATGTTTCCAATCCATGTACATTCAGGGCTGTCCAAGTTATTAATAAAAGATCTTGGATCAACGTTATCAGACAACAGAGAAAGGGAAGCCTTGCATACTTCCCAGTAATCTCTCCATCTCTCACCTAAACTCTGCGTCTCTTCAGGAGAAGGTGGTTCACAGGGATCAACCCAGTGACCACAGGCCAAAGTCCAGCTACGTGCCACGGGATGGCAGCCCTCAGTCTCCGAGGGACAAGAGGCCTCTCTCTGGGCCCAACATCTGCACCCCAAACCTGCCAGTAACGGACGGGGTGATGAAGACTGCCCAGCAGACAACACGGCCATTTAACACCTACCCAAGGACAGACAGTGAGGGTGGACGCAGTCCCACAGGACAGGTAGGGACGGCATGAACACAAAGACAGACAGGAAGAAAGACTGCTGTTTCCAGCCAGGACAGGTACAAGGAGAAACAGCAGCCCTGAGGGAAACTATTGACTGAGAGAAAACAGCAGACAGGTGCAAATTGAGCCACTGGCTGATGAATGATAGCTCTTATCACCTTGCTGTTCTGTGTTCTTTGGGTCAGATTCAGCCGCTTCTGTCCTGGTATTTCGCTCCTGAAAGCTGTTAGTGATGATGGCGTGATATGTCTCAATGCTGTTCAAGTTCATCACATTCATACTACCGAATCTGTCCCTTTTTTGTTTTGTCTGTATTACACCTCACAGGCAATTTTACAAATCAATGAACAGGACTGCTTCATGGCATTACTGGATTTTAAAATGTTTTCTGCATCTATGTGATACCCACCTTGTTTTACCAGGCATTTCAGTTTCTAGAAAAGGCAAAAACATTTATTTGGGGTAATAAACCCTTTCCTTGTTGATTCCAAAGCAGTATATAACAACATATATTGATATTGTGAAATAGAATTACATATTAAGTGACAGAGGATTAAATCCATATCGCCCCCACCTACTATTTAAATGTGGTATCCATAATTTATTAACATTTAACTTTATACTTGCTGTATGTTTGTGATAACGCTCTCCTCTCTGTTTCTTCAAGCCGGGTCGACACCATGAATCCTCCCCTCAAAACGGCCCCTCCGGCGGCTCTGCCCGAGGGTCCTCTGGCTCCAAGCCCCCTGTAAGCCACCCTCACCCTCATCACACTTCCCACCCCAGCCTGTCCCCTGAGGCCACCCAGCACCCACACACCCCTCACCCCAACGTTCCAGCCCCGCGGCCCCCTGTGCCCTCTGGGCCCCCGGCATCAAGTGCTCCGACTCAGGGCCGCTCTCCGCAGAGGGAGCCCCAGAGGGTTTCCCATGAGCAGTTCAGAGCGGCGCTACAGATGGTGGTAGATCCTGGCGATCCGCGTACCTACCTGGACCACTACATTAAGATAGGAGAAGGGTCCACGGGCATCGTGTGTATCGCCACAGTGAAGACCACCGGGAAACTGGTCGCTGTGAAGAAGATGGACCTGAGGAAACAACAGCGCAGAGAACTCCTCTTCAACGAGGTAACAGTTCACGATGGAGTGAATACAGTGTAGACGCTGTGATTCACTGTAAGGGCTAATACAACACAAGACCGTGATACCTAATGTTGTCAGGTGGTATTTTATCTTCCTTGGTATTACTTTATGTTTGCCTTGTCACAAATAACTAATAATTAGACTAGTTACCCTGAATGTGTACCACTGACGTTTGATGTGTATGTTTTTATGTAATTAAATGTCTTTTAAGTTATTTTTCTGTGATATTTTGGTTAGAACAACACTGTAAAAGAGGTTTTCTTTTATCCCACTGAGACATTTTAATTTGAATACACTCAGGGGCCACTTTATTAGGTATACCGGTACAATTGAATGCAGTTCAGTACAACAGCTCGACCATCATTTACCTTTACAAAGTTTATAATGTTTTGTTGTGGAAATTTGTAAATTCAACTGTGGGTCACAGTTATTGAGGTTACAGTTAAAGGTGCAGTTGTACTGGACCAATGTTTTTGTCTTCTTTATTTACATATATAAGGAACATAATGGTATGACCTCAATGTTAAAACATATAATTAACACCCCTGTGGCAGAGGTATTTACTGTGATACACTGTCTAACGAGATGACCGACTGAACAGAACAATGTTCTTCCTCTTGTTTTTATAAATATTCAATTGCATCATCAACCTGCCGTTTTTTTTAAATCTAATGAGTAAACTAACTATACCCTGTCTGTGTGTCCCATCCATCTCTGTGGTGACTGAAGGTGGTAATCATGCGGGACTATCACCATGAGAACGTGGTGGAGATGTACAACAGCTACCTGGTGGGAGACGAGCTCTGGGTCGTCATGGAGTTCCTGGAGGGAGGAGCTCTCACTGACATTGTGACACACACCAGGTGAGAGGGAACTTATGTAGCATCTCCCAACCTTTTTTTAAGGGTTTAACCACTGTGGGCGGATACAAGATCTTGTATTCCGGGTAATCAATATTTCCATGTGATTTAGGGCTTTTTTTTAAAATTTGTAATGAAAACTGTTTTCTTCCATAAGGGGGCAGTGTTACCTAATTTGTTCTGCACAGAGAGACATATCACCATGTCTTGTCATTTCACACAATAGCAAGTTCTTTACTGATTGAAATGTTTGCTTTCCTGATTTCTTCAGCCCTTTTTGTTTGACTATATTTCTCTAAACACAGGCATAATGTTAAAAAGCTTTTTTCTGCTCTGTGTTTGTGGGTGATTCAGAAATGATCACCTCTGACTGTAGAGGGATCTAGAAAGAAACAGCTGGGGAAAAGTGAAACTGACATGTCTCTCTGGTGTCTCTTTCCCTCTCCAGGATGAACGAGGAGCAGATTGCTACAGTGTGTTTGTCTGTCCTGAAGGCCTTGTCTGTCCTCCACACACAGGGTGTGATCCACAGAGACATCAAGAGTGACTCCATCCTCCTCACTCATGATGGCCGGGTATGTAACACATACCTCACACTGCATGTGCTTTATTGCCAGGACACGCAGTTTGTAAAAGGCATTAAGAAGTGACAGAACTGTAAAAAGAGGAGAGTATAGCTTCACAGAAACAAATCAATAATATATTTCACTTTTTAAATTATCAGCAGCGCACATCTTCTTTTTCTTTGTCAAACCACAACACTGGCTGAGGCAGCACTTTTCCTCAGCATAAAAGCATAACGGGAAGCATTTTAACAGCTCATAGCAGGACAAACACTGGTGTCTCTAACAAAATGAGTCAGTGATCTGCTCCATTGAAATGGTCCAGTTGGCCGTTTCATTGAGCCAGTCTGCACATTTAAATTAAATGCAGCAACCATTAATGTTATTGGAAACACTTGTGCTTTTCTGGCAATGACTTGTCAAAATGTGTGCTGTGAAAAAGGCTTCAAGGGTGCCTTTAATGGACAGAGAGGTGCTCTTTGGTCACTCGTCTTCAGAGTTTGTCTCTCAGGATGCACAAACTCTGCACTGCACCTCAGCCACTGAGAGAACTTCACCCAATTTTACAAGAATAAAAGGAAATTGTTGGTTGGAAAAGGGAACTAAAGGCCTCTCTGTTAACCGCTACTGTAGAACTAGGGCAGATGCCAAATCACTTCCTGCCCGTTGACGACCAAGTTTCTGCTTTTTACAGAAAATGAAACTAACAAGGTTGCATAGCAAAACCAGGACGAAAGGAACTCTTCTGGTGTGTCACAGCTAGCAAACAGTACATATACACGGCCTGGTGCTGTTACTGGCTCTCTGTGCAGAATGTATAATGTGTCGTTGTGCTAAGCCGAGGTTTCAGCAGCACTATAACGATGCATCTTGGACAAGGATAATAAGTTAATGTCCTTTGGTGTTTGTCACATTTTTTGAACGATCGGGTGAATTTAAGGGTTTGAAATGAGTAATTTTCAGCCCAGTGCACCATATCCACATTCAGTCAGTCAGCATGTGCAGGTTGAGATCACAGATGTGGTATCTAATTCTGATTCCGCTGTTACCCAACAGCAAACAACTATATAACTATATTAATGACATCCTGAGCAGAGAATGTCTCACTCCTTCCTCGAGCATTGCTTCTCTGTCAACTCTGTCTACTAATCTACATGCAGTCTGTTTCCGCGACTATTTTTGCATCTACCTCAGTGTATTAGGGGTTTTTTCTGACCAGCAAACTTGAATGACGTGCGTTTTATGAACTGGGAGGTAGAATTTGTGTAACGCTTGCACATGTGTTATGGTCGAAGGTCCTGGTGCTCTGTGCGACATCCATTCTGAAAGTCATAAACTACATGAATTCATGGCAGGCGTTTGTCTTCCACTGATTAATTCACATCATTCATATTCTAAATGGTTTCTGATGACGTTAGTCTTAATTAACTCAGCGTTTGTTCCTGTGAACTCAGTTTTTTTTTTTTGGTGAGTTCGTTGTAGCAACATAAACTAAATGTGCAAGTCATACATGCGATGCTAAGATGAGCTAACGTGTAAACCACAACGTCCTTGATGACAGCTGAGGAATGTTTGTGGTTTTGATGTCTTTTATGAGTTGTGGTTTCACCCATCGCCTCGGCCTCCAGCAGTATGCATGGCCAGGCAGGTTCCTACAGTGACACCTAAGTGCTCCGTCTACACTGTTGTTGCTCTGTGAGGCAGAGAAACTGTTTCATGTCGCTCATACTCCTGCTAATGAGCTTCTCCGAGGGCATGTGTGTGTGATCGGTGTCAATCATTTAAAAGTGAATGAAAGAATAATGTGTGCAGTTATCTCTCTGCACCAAAGGGTTTAAATATCTTTAACTAGTCATATAAGAGCAGTGGGGTTTTCTTTTTGTCCTTTTGTGTTCGTAACTCACGTGCATTTATTTCTAAATACTGACATTTCTAATTTTGAAGTTGTGGACATTATTTATAATTTTATCAGAAGTGTTGGGTCAACTTCAAGAAGACCTCAGATCTCGGGTCACACAGGGTTTGGTTTGAGTTGTTGCTTGTGATTTGGTATGGGGAAACAGACTCAGCCGAGCCTGAAGTGTTTCTCGTCAGTGAGGGGGGGTGGTGGGGTGTGAGGGGGGGAGTGTTATCTGAATGCACCTGCGGGTGATATCTGTGAGAATCTCACTTCTTAACAAAGTAGGTCAAGAGACAGTGAATCTCTGTTCTGGTTAACTTTAACTTACTCTCAGCTTTACAGGTAATAATGTTGTCTATAAAGCTCTGGCCATCAGTGTTAGAGCTGTCTGTGTATTTGACCGTTCGTACAAGTGCACCACTTCTCTGAACTGGTTCGTTTCATTTCTCTTTCTGAGCCATCTGAGGGTAGCAGTCGGCCTTGTGGGCAACATCAAAGGCTGGTTCTCTGTCTAGATACCCAACCATGCACAGACATTCTCAGAAAGAAGGCAGCGACTGGTCCACTCGGCTGTTCATGCATAAGAAGGAAGCTGCGCCTCAGATAATCAGATTGAATATTTTTATGCAGCTGAAACTTTATTGAGCTTTGCGTCATCCGTTCATAATCAAAATGGAAATGTACTATACTGAAAGAATGTATAATATAGAATAATATAATATAATATGCACTGTGAGTCAGACGGCCTTCACTTCAGTGCCAGACAGTCCTAAAGACTTTCTTCTTTAGCTCTCTAACAGTTTCAGGGACAGTTTCTGCTTTGACAAGCAGTAAAATGTATAAATGATGTAGATGCATGGAGTTATTGTATTCAACTTCACACACATACTCATGATCACTACGTTGGGTACCTTCTGTGAAAATTAATCTTGACATCTATGTACTTTTATTTATTCGTGGCTGGTTTTGTCTTCAGGTGAAGCTGTCAGACTTTGGCTTCTGTGCTCAGGTGTCTAAGGAAGTGCAGAGAAGGAAGTCTCTGGTTGGAACACCGTACTGGATGGCACCAGAGCTCATATCCAGACTGCCTTATGGACCAGAGGTAATACTCACACGCTGTTTCCCTGAGGATTTTACTGTTGTTTGAGCATCTAAAGAAGTTGACCGTCTCTTCTCACTGTGTCCAGGTGGATATCTGGTCTCTGGGTATCATGGTCATAGAGATGGTTGATGGGGAGCCGCCGTACTTCAACGAGCCGCCACTCAAAGCCATGAAGATGATTCGAGACAACCTGCCTCCCAAACTGAAGAACCTGCACAAGGTACAAAGACAAAAGCTGAGTTTGACAGAGCAGCTTGTGTGAAGTATCATTCATCACATGTGATTATACCATCAAACACACGTCTGGATTCTGTGTTGTTTCCCTTAAACAACACAGTCAGATGTATGGACATTCATTAATTGTTGTTTAATATTGATTATCTGCCGATACCGAGTCCCTGCACACTTAAAGTACATTAAAGTTATTAAAATCAAACCGAGTTACCCGAATGAACTGTCTGTATTCTATTTAGCGTTTATTTATCTTTGCATCTTTTGCGTGAATTACATTAATTAATTACTCTTATTGGCTTTTTGTTTGTGGGAACCTTTGCTGTACTTGCAGTGGGGCGTCGAATCTCCTTTGAGCGGGGGCAGCCCAGTTTCACTTTGAGCTGCGAGGTGCATGAAAGCTTCCTGAGTAAAAACAGCTGTGTGACTGACGTAAAAAAAAACAAAAGATCTTGTCGGGTCAGTAAAGTTCAACATAGCTGATACCGATCAGTTAAAAAATGAGACATTGAGACATTCCTGACATTAATCCTTTGACAGCCTGCAGTTGGTCTTGTTTGTAACAACGCTGGCAGCGAGGAAAGAGTTTGATTACGTTTTCATTATTGCAGAAGTTATTTAGGGTTGAAAAGTGACAGTACTTTAAAGAAGTGTTGAGTAATCAGTTGTGTGTGTTCGCTGTCCAATAATTAAGCTACTGACAGTGAATGTTGTTGGTGTTGGTTTATGTGTCTTGAAATCAGGCTTGGGGAGTAACAGATTACATCCAATAGAGTTATGTAATCCTCACACAAAAAACTATAAAATAAAATAAAATAAAATAAAATAAAATAGGGATTATAAAAAGGATTACAATTTTAAAATCCATTTATGAATAAATAACAATGTACTACCATGCACATGTGCAGTGGACACATTACATTGTGATGATTGGATTAAGTTACTGACTGCATTTATTAACAGGTAATTATTAATTATATCACATTATGTTTTTAAAGTCACCTTTCCAACCCAGTTTAAAGCAGAGTTGCAAAACAAACAAAGGGAAGTCAATTTTAAAAGACAAAAAGAATGATTGTCAGTGTTATTAATGATCCCATTTCTTGATTTTAAAGTCTGACTGATACTAAAATAAATATTTATAAGTTTGTTTCTGCAGCTGGACAACAAACGGATACAGTCAGTAAAGTCTGTGTTTCTGTTTCTGTCACAGAGCCTTCAGTCTAGAAAAGGTTATTTTTAGTCTGCAGTGTCATATATCACTGAACAGGTCTCAATATTGAGTTGATGTAGACATCAGGGGACATTCACTTCAACTATCACTGTTGAACCTCAAATGAAACTGTTATCCGATTTCACAACCAACTGGGTGACTGTGTTCCTGTGGTTTGATTGATTAACATCACTGTCATTTCCCCATTTTGTGCCATAGAGCAATAAACGCTTATTAACCCTTTATTATTATTATTATTATTATTATTATTAAGACCTGACTGACTCTGATGATTTCTCTCCTTCTCCCAGGTCTCCCCTCTGCTCAAGGGCTTCCTGGACAGGATGTTGGTGCGAGACCCGGCTCAAAGGGCCACCGCCAGCGAGCTCCTCAAGCACCCCTTCCTGACGAAGGCAGGTCCACCGTCCTGCATCGTCCCTCTGATGAGGCAGAACAGGATGAGATGAGACATGTGACACTAAGACCTCCAGACACTGGAGGGCGGGCGGGCAGCATGTGCAGGTTCAGATGGAACAGAATACTCCTGCACACAGAGGAAGGGCCCACAGAGGTCAGAGGTCACAGACGAGAGGGTTGCACTGCAGGCAAAACTCTCGGGAAAGTGCTGTGAGCTGCAAAGTGTAAACTGGGTGTGCAGGAGTATTCTATTTTTCTTATGTGAATCACTGAACTGTGGGGAGTGTACTCCCTCAATAAGAGGCAATAAGGCTGTGTTTGTGTTTGTGTGTGTGTGTGTGCGTGTGCGTGTGCGTATGTGTGTAAGCATATGTTGCCAACACTGTTGACGACGGTGTTTAATGGCGCGTACGTGTGTGAGCTCTCTCTTGGGGAGAGAGAAGAGCAGAGACGCCACAACTTGCCTGTTGAGTGATATATTTTTTTTTTGCCGATTTCTTGTAAACATTTTTGTTTTAACTGATGGGGTCCTGACCTGGAAAGATTAAGGACTGAGGCTGTTTTTATTTTTCCATTTGGACCTTACCTGGATTTCAAGTGTGAAGGTGGGTTTTGCACACTAATCGGATGCTTTGAAGGAGCCGTGAGCCCACTGGCTGATTTTAGAGACAGAGCGAGCGACATTTTAATCTCACTATCTGGAAGCCAAACTTTTTCACTACAAGGACTTCTCTCATGGACGGATCCCAGACCCGGACACTAATCCTCGCCACGCCCAGAACTTACTACTGAGAGAGGAAATCTCTTTTTGGGACTCTTATTTTGTAGCCAAATAAATACTAGCTTCCTGTTGTAAACAAGCAGACATACACTACGTCGAAAGGTAAACACTGGAGTTGTGGTTTTTTTTAACAGATGAATTTTTCTCTTATTTCCTTTTTTATTTTCCTGTGTAAGTACAATGAACATAGAGAGATATATATCAGTTTTGATGTTTTACTATCTCTATTTTGTGATTGTTTTATTATTATTATGATTTCCTGGTTTATTTTAGAGAGAGATGTGATCATTTTTTGAAGCACTGTCGAGGAGAGATAGAAGCTGCACTCCCGTTTGATTCCAGCACGAAGATAAATAGACACTAGACATTTTATTTTGGTTTCTTTTTTTAGACCCGACCAAGTAGAAGTTTTGGACTTTTAACGTCAGTGGTCAAGATGTCACTCGGAGCAGGAAAGGTTTTACAGAAGCGTTAAAAGCAGAGAGAAATGAAGAATACACCCCCTTAAAATGTAATGAGTATGATAGATCCTACCCCTGTTGTAGCTTTTACTCTTTTTCTCTTTAGAAGAGTTGGCTTTCCCCCCACCCTCTTTTTTTAATTTTTTTTTTTTACCTTCGTTAACTATGTCCGCTGATTAATGGTCGAAAATGAACATGAGCTACTTTTTAGGCAACCAAGTTATTTTTAGTCGGTGGTAAATGTCCGCTTCCTTACGTCATCAACACAGTGGCTGCTGCTGATGTGCAGGAGTGTTCGTATCATGTTGAATCGATTAATGTTTGATTGCCTAGTTAATGCATCTGCCACGGCGCTCCTGCGTCCACCTCATCGTGTGGGACGTGTGACATTAGCAAACAGTAGTCTTTGTCATCTGGTGAGAACCTTATTTATAAATCCTAGTCAGAATCACACGCAGAAAGGAGTGTGACAGATCAGCAAGAGGAGCTGCTTTGTTTGGATTAATATCTCCAATGAATAGCGTCTGTCATGCTCCTAATGTGTGTGCGCGTGTGTGAGAACTGTTTTTAGTGTTGACATTTAAGTCTGAATGCATGTGTGTTCTGTGAAAGTGGCCCATTAGACAGAAAGATAACAGAAGTACTTAGAAAGCAGGAAACACTTTAGTGAAGAACAGCTGCTGTTAATGTACACACGCATTCATGAGCTAAAAAAAAAAACATGAGACCTGTGTCAACTTGTTCTGGATGTCACTGAGGGACAATAAAGGCCTCAGTTAATTTTCTAATAGAAAAAGCTCCCAAATGATCATCAACAGTGTAAAAACTTAAACATGAAAACGTGTATTTTTTTTTTTAGATTCTGTTGATTGACAGACATCTGACTGGAAACCGCTTCCATGATAAAAGTTAATTACAAAGTACAAAGTATATGAGGCTTTTTCACGTCAACACAGATCAGTCATTTAAAAATAAGGATAAAATAAACTCCTCTGATTGTCCCCTCCGCCAGACATCACCCAGCAGGCTGAATGAAACCGTGGAGAATTAATTACAGTTCAGTTTGGCCCAGGTCTTGTTATTATCCACCCACTTCTGCCCTGATGTTCCTCAAGCTGGAATCGGAGGCGTCTTTATCAGCAGACAGCGGTGGTTTCACACTGTTTCTTTTGGCGATGAGCAGTCATTTATGCAGAAGATGAAATTAAAGATAAGGCCGTTACTAATTCATGCCTCTCAAGGTAACACGACACAGAGATGCACATAAACACGGCCTGCAGACACATTCCCCTCTCTATGCCAAGGCTGCTGTTTCCATTCCTTCTATGTCTTCCAGTTCAGCTGCTGCAGAAAGCCTCCTCATCAGACGAGAGCTCATTCAACAAGCCTTTTTCACAACAAGTTTTAAATAGAGCTCAGAATACTTCCCACTAATGTCATGCTCTGAGAATGAACGCAGAGAAACATTTTCTCACACTTTGAGGAGTTTGCTGTTCTCTTATGTATTTTTCTACATACATATACAGTATATTAATCTAAATACACTGCTACTAATACTATACTGCCGCTGTAGGTGCACTGTACTCCAGCTCTCCTGATACAGTGAAGAATCAACGACTGAGGCCTTTTTTTATGAAAAGTAGCAGCACAGAGGAGGAAGTAGGTTTTATTCCAAGCTGTTTGTTTTTTCTAACAATGTTGATAATACCTGCAAAGCACAGCGAGTTACGGTTTAAAGAGAATGATGTGAGCAGTGACTGAAGCTCACTGTTATTCTGTGTATTAATGCTGCGTAGCTGCTTTTCTTGGAAGATCACTAACTACCGCATAAAGCAGCATTATCCACCAGGGTGTTTGTCACTGCGGTTACTGAGGTGATGCTGGCTCCATTAGGGCTGCACCGTAAACAGGGAAAATACTTCCTTCCAGGCATCAGTGTCTGTAACGTCAGGCTGTAGTCATGTTTTCAAGTAGCTGAACTCTGTTGTCTCTGGACTCAGTGGACTCATATAACACAATTAAGATTTCCCGCATGCTGTTTTAGTATCGGTGTGAGCAGAGAAAATGTAGTTTCCTTTTTCCTAGGAACATGTATCATCGTCTTTACGTGCCCGGGCTGGAGGAGCTTCAGAACTATTTTGTTTTGACTTCAGGTTTGAACGTAGGTTAATCGTAATCTTTGTCCCGGATACAAAACATTCACACGGATGAAATTTCTGGGATGACTCACAGGTTATGAAATGTGTTGTCATGTTTCATGTTTATACCTTATAATCAGAGACACGATGGCTGAGCTGAAAGAAACGATAGACTAAATGACAATCAGCTGTAGTTCGAGTGGATGAAACACTTTCTGTTTTGAGTGTGTTTTCTTCAGAATCTCATTTGAATATCCCACTTCTTTTAAATCTATTTTGGTTCATCACTTACTTACTATGCTTTAAATAAAACAGCTGTTGACTACAAATAGACTTTATAATGAAAGGGGAGGACCTGCCTCCTGCTAAATGCTGGTAAATGTAATGTGATTTGTTTCTTGCTGTTACTGTTTGAGAGGCCCTTTGGTGGCTGGCTAATGGGATTTATACATTTGACAGTATTGGGACCAGTGATAGGAAAAGATAATAATCTGAGATTCTGCGAATCAGTAATATTATTATGAGAAAAAAGTCAAAGAGAAAAAGTCCCAACAGAGTAAAAGTAGGCTGCTTTGAGGGCAAAGTGTTGTTATGATTAAATTAATTGGATTACGTACATGTTCCATTTCCTGAAAGTCTAAACTACAGACTACAGTCTTTACTTGTGTTTGGACTTTGCCTGCTGTGTCTGTTTATTGACTCATACATCATTTCCCCGAACTTGTTTCATCTGAATATCCTAAAACCTGCGATAAATGATTTATTTTCCTAATAGTGGCCCTGAATACTCTGTTGTCCCTCATCCTACCTGTAAACAAACACTCTCTCTATGTTATTACAGACTATTGTTGTTCATGTTGAGCCTCATCCCAACTTTTATCAGTTTTCCTTTTGATTTACAATGTGAAAATCCAAAATCTGTTCACTCTACCGGTGGACTGATGTTGATTATGAGGTAGACTGTAACTACATTGTTATCAAATCTACTGCTGTGTGTGTGTGTGTGTGTGTGTGTGGGACTTCTGCGAGGGTATGTTTGTATGCATATTCATGAGTTCATGCCTTAACATTTACAATCACTACTCGACGGATAATAAGTCTGACTTGACACTACAACTGTTGGAGAGGATGAAAGGAGACTTCAGTGACTCTCGTCTCTTCTCACCTTAAAAAGTCTTTAAGTAACTTTGATGTCGTTTTTGTGCCAAGTACTGTTTGCATCTTTTGGCTGATGCGTTAAAAAGTGACAGCTCTCATTAACATTCCTGACAGTTTCCAAATTGCTGAGACCACTTTCAGATTGAGGGTTTTTTCAGGGTGACTTTTTATCTAAAAAAACGTGGTTACTGAGTGCCTCAAAGTCGGCGCTCTTCTCACCTCAGTTGAGTTTTGCAAAGGGATTTTTCCAGAAGCAAGGACAGCTGGGATTCGTTTCTGTTCAGTACCTCCCTGCTTCACACCGCAGAGCTTCCAAAAGATTTCTGTTGATTTCTGTATTAGTCGCCAATGAGCAGCTCCTGTGCTGCTGTTCAGGGTTTAGTGCCTTGCTTAGGGGCATCTTGACAGACATGTTTTGAGGATTGTCCTGTTAACTGAGTAGTCTTGTTTCTTGGAAAAAAAAAACAACCCTTGTTGAGTGAACCACTACTGACCAACCAGCCTACTCTATAAAATATGTGACAAAAAGAAACTGAATTCTTTCTCTCATCAACTCGCCTCTTGTGTAAAAGCTGATTTTTGTTGATCTGTTGCAGTATTGACATGTTTTTGTCAAACATCGGATTCAAACAACTGTTCCTGCACCATCTTGTCTTTGTAAACTTCACTGGTATTGTAAAAAAAAAAAACAGACTTCACTTTGCAAATTTTACTTTTTTTTTTTTTTTGCAAATACAGATTTTGTAAAAGTCAACCATGACGTCTGTTTTCTGTTCTGTTCTGTTCTCAAATGAAGCCAGTAAAGTGCCAAAACTGCAGTTCCTCGAACGGCCACTCAAGGCAGGCTACAGAAGCGTCCTAACAATGTTTACAGCCTGATACAAACAAATAGTTTTGGTCTCCATTGTTAAATTCCCTGCTCATGACAACTCAGTCATTACAATAACATCAAGGCTTAAAGTTCTGCATTATTAATGGGCGTGGTCGCTCTGGTCTGGTCAGGTGTGTGCTGTCGTAGGGTTTCAGTAACCAGACTTCTTTCAGCCGCCTCAGCTCCACCCACGATCCACGTCTCTGCCCGTGTTTGGATCGACCAGGAGGAGATGGCAACAGGCCGAGCTCGACCACACTGAGCTCATCGGCTCTTCAGGAACCTGTGGGTGACGTCACACAGACTGCGTCCATTTGTGTTTATGCCGTCTATGGCAGCTTTAATGCATCTTTAATCTGAGCCAGAGGGAAAGGCTGTGTTGTAAATCAGAAGGGTTTAATCTCTGTATGGTGGCCTTTCAGCTGTGAATGTTAACATGTATACAGTGAGCGTTGGATATTATCCTGGTAGCAGCATGTCAACATGAATACATTTCAGCACATGTTAAATATTACCTTGTATTTCACAACGACACCGGGCACTCCCACCTCCCTGATGTGCCGCACGTCGCTCGCTGGCACTAAATGTTCTTGTTTGTCTGAATTGTGAATCGCAGCAGCAGAACAGTTGCATATGAACATAAATCATGTTGGGAAATGTGTTTCTCTGATTGCTTAAATGTCTTTGTGTTGTTAATTCATCACAATTATTCTGTGTATAAAAAATTCAACTAAATACTTATTATTCTGTTAGACTAGACCAGGAACCTTTTAAGTGACGTATTTTATGGATATTTTATATTATATTCAATACATAACAATAACAATATAAACTGTACAATTAACTCACATAGTGAACACAGCAACTGCAGGAAGTTTGAGCAAATTATTTCCTGTGAATATTGCATCAGAGATCAGTTTTCCTGATAAGTTTTTACTTTTTATACAACTCTTTCTCTCTGTATTAGTATTTTATTTTAATTTTAACAATCATATTTACTTATTAGGCTTGTTTTTTGAGATGTGCCGTGTTTTCGTCTCCCTGTGTGTGTGAGTTTATATCTTAAATAATAACTTTAATCTTTAAAAACAGCAATTTCATTTAGTTTTCTTAACAGAAATGAATGAAAATATCCATCACTGGGGGTCGGGACACCCTGGGTGGGAACCAGTGGACTACACTGGTCTCTCTGCCTTGTACAGACGTTGTACAATAACCCAAACTGATACACACGAGCTGCTTTATTGCTCATAAAATAATTACATTCTGTTCTTGAAGCAAACCCACCTTCCTTCCTTTAGAAATATAGATTATAAATTATAGATATAGATCAGTAACTGTGGCTGCCAAGGCCTTAACAAACTTAACACTGTTGGATGAGGATATGTGATAAATAAGCCTCAGATCTGCATCAGATATTGTGATGAGCTCTAAATTGAAAAACATCCCTCAAGTTTGACTCATTGCTTGTCTGAGAGCGTTTTCACATGCTTGCCTGATGAGCTGATACTGTAGACCAGCTAACAGTAGAAACCCTGAAGAAACTCTGTTGTATTACAGCAGCAGGCAGAGTCAGCGCCGTTGTATTTTTAGCACTTCCGTCAAGTCGCCCATCAGTCGAAGTAACTAAGCAGCAAGTTGCAACTCTGCAGGCTGCAACTCTTCAGCTTTTACTGTAAACAGTCAGCCAAAAGGGTGGGCCCCTCCAAACAATGACAGCTATTATAGACCACAGGACAGCTGTGTTTGTGGTGTGTGTGTGTGTGCGTGTGTGTGCGTGTGTGTTTTTTTTTAGACCTCACCAGCTCAGAAAATAAAGGATATTTTCAGGTTTTTCATTTCATTAGTGGCTAATTTAAGATGTGCATTCAATCTGGCACTTAATAAATACAGAATATAGATTTTATTGCTTATATTTTATTGATTGTCAAAGAGAAAATGATGTTGGTGCAAACATGAAAGTAGGCCACCACTTACTTGCCAGTGCAGAAACAATACCGCAAACGATAAAACACACAAAACAGGAGAACAAACAACTCCCTAAAATTAAATGTATCAGTAAAAAGTAAAGTTAGACTGTAAGTAATGATGAGTGTAATGCAGAGATAATTAAAGTGAGTGATGTTTATGTTATTGCGCCACCACACTGCGATGGTGAAGGCGAGAACAGCAACAGCAGTATCTTTATTAAAGTGTTTTAGGTTTAAAATTTTAGTTTAAATTCAGTTTTAAAGCTGTTTTTTATGGTTGGGGGAGATTTAATTGCCTTTAATCGATAGTGAGGGGAGACAGAGGGTCACATGTTGGACTCTAACCCGAGCCACTGTGGTACGTCCCATTAAAGTGAATTAGTGACGAACCTTTCATGTAATTTTACACACAATCCGTAATGAAGCAGATACAGAAGAATAAAAAAATGCTAAATTTCACATGTGTTATTAAAGGACCAGTGTAAGATTTAGTGGCAGCTGCAACCAGCTGAATACAGCTCGTGCAGGACAAACTACAGTGAAAAAGGCCCTATCTAAAGCCTGTGTTTGGTTTGTCCCTTCTGGGCTACTGTAGATAGAAGACCAATGAAGGCAGCAACCAGAGCCAGAGTAGGATTTATAATTTAACTGTAGATACAAACAGCTGTAAGATAACAACAACACAATGATTCCTATATTCAGGTGATTATTAGGAGACTAAGACTGGTTTTAATTCAACCAAACTTATATTATTTATCTTTAAATTGCACATGTACAGTTTTGTTTTTTAGTCAAGCTATATATTGCATATAGTGTATATATTTTTCATTTATAGTTTTATATGTTATATATATATTTTGTGTTGTTGTTATCTATGTACACTGTGCTCTCTTTTTATTGCACGTTATTCCCCAATGCTGCTGTGTGTAACTTGAATGTCTCCACGGGGAAATTAAAAAGGTTTATCTTATCTTACGGTTAACATCTACACCTGCATCACGTGCAAGCCGCTGCATGTGGCTCTACTATTAGATTTATAGAATGATAAAACGGTCCAATTAAAACTTTAGCACGAAAAATGTGTTTTTAACACATTAATTTGTTCATTCTATATATCATTGTGTCCCAGTTTGCCTTTTCTGAATTTTTTTTTTTTTCTTTCTTTTTTTTTTCTTTGGGCTGAGTTGTGTTGTATTGTGTTGTGGTGTGTGTAGAGAGGAACTAAATGTTAAAAGGTGTCACGTGTTCCTGTGGTGTGTTATTACCAGAAATGACATGCCCACACGTGGGCGGGGCTTGTCGGCCGGGCAGCCAATAGGAAGCCTGGGTGTGTGTGTCAAACACAGCTGATCGATGAGTCAGGGCGACAGCAGCCGAGAAGCTCCCACTTGTTGCTGAGCAGGAGCCGCGATCGGTCAGCTGACGGCGGAGGTCTGCTCCATCTTCACTTTACCATCCTCACATCTGTCCGTAGACCTGCACCCGGAGTCTCTGCACCCCCCCACCCCAGCCCGGCTCCTGTCTCACCCCTCCTGTCTCACCCCCGCAGCCCGAACCAGCCGCCCCCGCTCAGGATCGCACCGCTGCTGCCTGTCTTACGGCTCTCAGGTGAGACATTTTAGGTGTTTCTAACTTTGCCTCCCGGCGGCTGCAGCTGATCGTCAGGAGCTGCGATTATAATCGATATTATCGCCTATAGATTGATCTGATTCACTGTGGGCAAAACAAGAGCCGCGTTTTTTTCTCTGTTTATCTCATAAAGTCGGATGAATTCTTCTAATTCTTGTTGTTTGACTTCACACATTATTGATTATTGATGTTACAGTGATTCACCCGCAATAAAGGCCCGATAGCTAATAATCGATTATTATCACGAAGCTGATGTTGCTCAGTAACGAAGGATGAGCTGTTACTATAGGGACCATCAACCGTCCTTTAAAGCGGGTTGAGGGTTTACTCAGCGGGTCTCTGTCTGTTTTAATGCTATATGGGAGTTTATTTACACTAGAGCTGAAACTATTGGTTAATAATCAATTAGTCGATCGATTTTCTCCAGCAAAAGCACCAATCAACCCTCAATCCAGCGTCTCCAATGTGCTTTTATCTCTTTTATATTGTTGTAATGAAACTGAAAACAGAGATTTTATCAGTTCAGGTGTATAAAGTGTGTGTGTGTGTGTGTGCTGATGTTGGTGTTCTGTTTGTTGCTGTGTATGCTGTGATGTGGGTGCGACGCGGAGGAGGGAGAGAGACACACCTGCCCTGTGACTCTACCTTACCTCAAATGGCACCACTTGACTCACAGATAAGACTGAAGTATGATGGCTTGTTCTCCATAGCAACACCTGGCTGACTTTTTAAAGAGCAATTCAATTCAATACAGCTTTATTAATCACTGTGAGGAGGGGGCATTGAATGCAGCAGGTACACACACTTAAAAGGCTGTGAGGGAGTTATCAGTGTGTGATTCACCTGCAGGAAGGTGTAATCTGAGCTTTGTTGTTTTACATTTACGTCTTTGTACATCATTGAACCGCCGGTGATCCAAAAATAAACTGATGCTTCTTCTTTCATTCATAGTCTTTTAGTGTTTCTCAGACTTTGTAACTTAAATAGCTTAAAGTTTAACCAGCATTTACTTTGAAGTGCTGATAAAGTCATAAAAGCATTTATGTCTGTGTGTTACCACATTGTAACACCCCACTGTGTGTTCAGTAATGCAGCATAAGCACTTCCAGTTCTGTGTTCAGTGTGTGTATTGTGTACACTGGTTGTTCAAAGCAATGCAGACCCTGACCGCCCAGGGGACCAGACCCAGCACCTCCACTTTAAAGCAAACCCACCTCATATTACATTAAATATAGTCAAGAGGAAGTTTAAATATTTGTTGAGGTTTTGGTTTACTTCCTAATTGTGTAAAAATAAAAGATGTTATTGTGAAATATACAGAGCGCTTCCACAGGGCTTTGACTGACAGGGTTTCTGGAGGTTTCAGGGGGGGAGAAGAGGACTTTATAGGCACCCTGGGGTGTGAGAGTCCACAGTAATCCACTCAAGGGTTTTAAGGAGTTTATTCTCACTATAATTAGTTAGTTAATTAATTGATTAGTTGATGGAGAGATCAATAATCTGCGACTGTTTGTCATTTTCCACGAAAAGCACCAAATATAATCTGGTTTAAAATAGTAAAAAATCATATTTTTTCCTTTTTAAATGCTTTTTTCCATTTCTTCTCACCTTTATTGTAGGAATGTGTTGAAGTGTTGAGCCTTTGCTTGCTGTTTCTTATGTTTCAGGTTAAGTTCTGAAATATCAAGATGATTAAATGTTGTTTTTGAGCTGTTAAAAAGGGTCTCTGAACAGTTGTGGTACACTTGTGTGTCATAACGAGATGTGAAACAATAGGGTGTTATTTATTATCACATGTTTTTGCTTTAATACAAGAGAAGATAACTCAGACTGAACTTTAATTCAGGGTATTCACCTGCTTGTTGCAGAAATACTGTAAAGCAGCAGAGCAGAAAGAGCAAAGTTCAACATGGCTGAGCGGGAGTCACCTCCGCAGCTACTGATCAACCAGACTGTCTGATGTGGTTCAGTGGGTGAAGACACTCAACCCCTATACCTACTACGAGCCAACTGTAACTGAGACAAAGTGGATTTCCAGTGGTCATCCTCATGATTCAGCTGTTAGGTCTGTGTTTCATTCTCAGAGATTAAGGTGATGCAAGCGCTTCCTGGAGTTTTTCCTGGAAATTTTCCTCCTGTGGAAGTTCCTGTAGGTGCTGTTTGTGCTATCATCGCTCCCTGCTAACCACCCAGCTCTTCCTCTGTTTGCGCCAAACAAAAAACGCTGTTGTGGCTGGAAACGCATCACTTCCTGTGTGCCAGAAGATATTTCCAAGAAAGAGCTACCAGTCACGCAGTGTTTACAGCAGTGAAGGTTGCTTTACATCATTTAACGCAAACGTAATGTGGCATTTTCCTTCATCTGAACCAAGAGTGTGTACACATAACCAGGGTGGGTTTCCACTCAATCCAGAGTCAGTCGAACACATCATCAGTGACCTTTTCAGGGGCGGATCTGGAGAATAATTCATGGGGTGGCGAGAGGGTGGCAAGGAGACTTTTAAGAAATGTGTCATATATCAATATTTGCTTGGAAAAGGCCCCAAATGGAGGTATTTAACTTAAAAACATTACAGTTATTGGCCTTTTATGAAGACTGAAATAGAATTGGCATTAAATCAATAAATTGTTTTATTTCCAAATACATAAGTCTATCACATAGTCCAAAATGTGTCTATTACAGTTAATTTCAGTTTCTAACACATTAATTTATAAAGTAATGTATTCAATTTGGCAGCATTTGACAATTAACTGTCAACCATTCGACATTTTACTCATAAAAAGGAAGTTTATGAGTTCAGTTTAGGAAAACGCAACCAACGCCTGCTGTTTCCTTTCTTCACCTTAAATCCACCAAGGCCATGCAGAGAGGTGTTGTTGATCGTGACCAGATAACAAAAGCTCTGAGACACAGACAGAGCGAAACCTGCTCCAGGAATTGTTTTCCTTTATCAGAAACTCAAAGTGCAGCTGCAGCAGAGGAGGATATCCAGTCCCCTGGAGTGTGAAGTCACCTGTAGTGAAGCTGTCAGTCATATTCTGTGCAGCCTTCAGTCTCCTGCAACAAAGCAGAGCAGAGATTGTGCCAGCTGACACTAAAATCAGTGGGAACACTGACATTTAAGACATTTTTAGAGGGATGTTTGTAGTGATTCTGATTGTTGATGCATCACTTGTTGTTCATACGCTCGTGAAAATGCGGTCTGAGTGAAGCCAGGCCAGTTACTTCATTCACAGGCCTGTTACGTTATGTAATGTCAGTTTTAAATAAACGTGCAGTTATCAAACGAAAAGGATTTAATTTAAAAAGAATTTTCTGTTGTCACAATTATTGTGGAGCCGCACAAACATTACAGCAGAAGTTATAATATCACAGAGGGCCGTGATGACTAAGATGCAGATCTCCCACGCAAATTGTGGTCACATAAGATGGAGCAGTGAATGTGTGTGTGTGTGT